TCTCTCTCTCTCTCTCTCTCTCTCCCTCTCTCTCTTTCTCTCTCTCTCTCTTTCTCTCTTTCTCTCTCTCTCACGCACGCTCACTCAGCCACTTCGTCCCCCGGCCCCTACTTTGCCTCGACGCGATGAAAACTGAGGGCGCAGAACACGGCACTATTACATTACAGGGGAGATAAATAAGGCCGCACGGCTTATTGTGTATCCTGGGATCCCCTGTTCCCCCCGCGGCGAGAACAGCTTTTGGGGAGGGCCTGGATTGGGCTGCTTTAGCAGGGCTCTAAGGGAGGTGATCGTCGATTTGGAATCTACGATGCATGATGCTCCGGTTTAAACAAGGCAATTTGCAACGTACAAGCTGAAGCTAGCCTACCTTTGTTACTGTCTCTTTGTTAAATTCAAGTTGGTCATAGTGCCATATCCCCGGGAACTGTTCCTGTATTTATTTTTGTAAAACCAACTTAAATCCAACAGCCGTGGATAAGTTGCTTGATGTTCCCCAACGAACTTTGCAGTGGTAAAAAATTACTATTTCGCTGTCAGAGCAAAATCGTGCGTGTCTAAGTTGTCGAAGCAAACTTGTGAACACGAATCGCACACCTGCTTTCGGAGGCTACATTTTTCCAAACACATGAGCATTTGCCCCCCCCCCCTCCTCCTGGTCCCCGTGCTGGTCTCTCTGGCCTGCGTGTCTCCGGCCGGGCAGCCTCACGCCGCCTGCGATGCGCAGGGTAGGCCACGCGCCGCACACGCCTGTTCACGGCCTGCCTACGGCTGCCTCGCGGGCGCCTACTCGCTCTCCCGTTCCCGTGGCTTGCACTGCTACCCGCCCTCCAGCCACGACTCCTGCATCAGCAAACATGGCTTCTGTTTACGCAACATGCCCTTATTCCACCCCCTCCCTTCTCCTCTCGCACCCCCCCCCCTCTTCCCCCTCTCACCACCTGTAGCACCACGGCCGAATGAGTTGAACACTTTACCTGTCGCTGCGTTGTCTGCGAGGTTGTCTGCCACAACAAGAGGCACCAAACTCCGGGTAACTATGTATTTGGTCTTCTGCCGGTTGGATAACCAAGATTTCGACACGCACCGACGTAGTTTCCTTAGGGGTAAGGCCTCCCCCCTCCTTTTCATCCGTAAGCAACTATCCGCTATCCATTTATGTAAGTTTTTTTGACGTATTTTTCATTGACCGTCGTTGTATTATATTCGTAAAGTTGCTTTCCTATTCCTCTTTACAACTGATTTGAATCCTGCGAGCTTTGGCTCAGTCGATCGATCGTTCCCTAATGCCACGGAAGACCACTCTACTGCCCAGCCACGTTTCTCCGTTCCGGTCGCTTTGACAGGGGCCACTTCTCCGCGTGGCTGCCTCTGCGTGAATGTCGCTTGAGTTGCCTCATTCATCAGTTCAATCGGTACTTAAAGCGCAGTGCCGCTGGCGTTGTGCGCGCGGTCGTGTAACCGACGTCAAAGCATGGATTACGACGAGGAAATGTGGTATTGCATCGCCGGAAATAGTCCGGGAGAGACGAGGGGTAGTACACCACTCTTAAAAGTAGGTGTACGCGATGAAAAAAGTCAAGAAAAAAGTCAAGATAAAGTCAAAAAGTCATTTGAAAAGTCAAAAAAAGTCAAAAAGTCAAATAAAAAGTCAAAAAAAGTCAAAAAAGTCAATTGAAGTCAACGAGTAGTCGTCGAGAAGTCAACGAGATGTCAGAGAAAAGGCACTGAAAAAGTCACCAAAAAGTCAACATGACAGTGCAATATCTGCCTGTAAGAGGCCAAAAAGCTTACTGTGATTGTATCGGAAAGTCCTAGATCACTGTCTTTTAAAGAGGTAGGAGGGCGGGTAAAGTGAGAAAAATAAAATAATTGGATTTCATAGGATTGCTTGACCCGAAAACTTAAATTTTGAAAATGATCTGTTATTCTTCCTTGTGGAGTGAACTCTGATAAAGAATTTCCTTCTTATTCGATTCATGCTTTAAATAGTACCAAAAAGTCTTGAAAAAACCTTATTAATAGCCCCCAAAATTCGACTCTCCCTTATTTTCAAAATATAGGGGAAAAAATCATAAAAGTCAAATAAATTTGATCAAAAAGTCAAAAAAAAAAGTCAAATTAAAGTACAAAAAAGTCAAAAAAAGTCAAAAAGTAACAGCGAAAGAAAATTGACAAAAAGTAGGTGTACACCCAGAATCGGAGTGGTGTACCCCTCGGGGAGAGAGGAGACAGCTAGAGCTAAACCTTCCCTGCTAGCGTATGGCTTGTTGTTTGTTTACCCCGACCCCCGCCTCCCTCAGAGGAGGAGGGGAGATGTCTCCTGGCTACCCACCAGCCTCCCAGCCTCCCAGCCTCCTCACCTCGCCTCACCGTACAATTCATCACAACGCCTGTTACGCTTGAGTCCAAAAACCACAAGCTAAGGTGGTGGGGAGAGGGGGGGCGCTTTCAGAGCTGCACCAGCGAAAAGAAGCTGCGCCACGTGATTCTGAGAGTGGAGCACTGTAGGCTGTACGGCACTGTGAGTGTCAATACTCATACTCGGTAACCTCAAATCGAATTTTGTGCAGGTGTATTCTATTCTCTACTCTGTCCGCTCATTATGTGATCTTATACTGTCGACCCCCCCCCCCTACACGCTTAAAGTGGCTGCTTGGTTTCCAAGCACATTTTGCTTTCAAAATTACCACTTTTGTTTGAAAACCAAGCAGTCACTTTAAGCGTGTACCCGCTGCTCTGTCCCGGGTGTCTCATTCAGGGCTGACGCCGCAAAATTGCGGCGTTCTTATCCGCCCTTCATGTGGTATGTGAACAGGCAGCCATTTCATCATGTTCATTTCATAGCCAAGTCCGAGCATTCCCACAACCCACGACTGCACGCTGTCCGCTGCAGTGTAATCCTCTCTCTCTCTCTCTCTCTCTCTCTCTCTCTCTCTCTCTGTTTATATTCCTCCATTCTCTCTCTCCCTCTGGCCTGCTGCTGTCCTGCCACTGGCTCTACCACTCTCCACACAGCGAACACGCTCACTGGTCGCCATTCGGCTCAGGGATCCCATTATGTCATCTTTCCAGCTTGTTCCCGTTTTTCCCCGCTTGTGCCCGCTTGTGCCCGCTTGTGCCCGCTTGTGCCCGCTTGCCCCCACTTGCGCCGGATTGCCCCCCACCCTTCATGCTCACGCCAGTCTTTTTATCCCGCAGCGCAGACTACACAAACTCTGAAACTCCTCCTTTACCCCTTCATTCTTTTTTTTTTTTTTTTTTTTTCATCCGGCACGCTGAGCTGTACGTAGTAGCTCCGCGAAACTGTCACGTAAACTATATCCGGAGTCCACAACCAGAAAATACGCCTTCTTGTTTCAAAGCACATTTAAACCGCCAAGCCCAGAGCTTTCCTTGAGTCATGCGTAAATACGCTTATCCGGAAGAACTAAAGGGTAGGTGAACCGCGCCGTCCTTTTTTAATGCTTACACTGTACCGGATTCACGCGTGCGGGCGGGCTTGCCTACCGTCGCTCGCCATGGCGCCTTACGGCGCCGTGCGAGTATGCAACCCATCCGCACGTAAGAATGCGGTACAGTAAAAGCATTAAAAAAGGACGGCGCGGATCACCCACCCTGTATTAGTGATTTATTACTAACTCACATTTCTTTCGAGTAAGACAATTTTGGCTTCACTCAAATAAAACCCCTGCCCTAGATATGTATGCTTTCAACAGAGAAAGAATTTGTCCGGGTGCTTC